TTTTGCATAGACTAAAGTACAAAGCAGTGAAAATCATTAATATGCAATCGTTCGATGGGCTGAATTTCTGATATTAGTGTTGCAAAATATCCAAAAAGCTTGGTTTGCTTTTTTAAAATTTTCAAGTGGAAGATGAAAATTTTAGGCCCGGTATGAAAGCGCTTCGAGAAATTCGCAAATATCAAAAATCCACTGAGCTACTTCTTCGAAAACTGCCATTTGCACGTCTTTGCAAAGAAATTTTGGATGATGTATCCGAAAGGCCGGGCCATTACCGATTTGAATTGCAAGCAATTTCGGCACTTCAAGAAGTATCCTTCCTTGTTTTTAGCCTTTCATATTACATTTTTTATCGGATGACACTGTGAATTTTCAAATGACAGAATAGAAGGCCCATTAGAAGGCCGAATCAAAATTGGACGATCCAAGTTGGGCCGCTGAAGAACTTAATAGGGTAGGTGCATTTTACACCTATCCTATTACGTTACACATCACATATGCATGACCTGAAAAACCATAAAAATCTTCCCCTTCTTTTCTTTAACTTAGGAACTACGGTCTCCTCAGTGCCACAAGAAAGTGCTAAAAAATGGGAATAGAATGATATTCCCATTTACACGGCGTTTTTTTGTAAAAGTGGTTTTTTGCAGCCGTTGCTTAGGCCGAACCATACCTTCTTGAGATAACGGTCCGTACAAATCAAAGAAAATTCAGAGCGGCTGAATTCTTCGAGTTTTGTGGGTGGGAGGATGGAATATATGTTAAACTTGTTCAAATGGCTTAAACGCGTTTGAAAAGTAGGCCTATTACATGCAGCATCACGGCTTAACGGGCGATAAGAATGGAGGCATTTGCTGTAGTCCACAGTGACCTAGGACGCAATATTCACCAAGAATGCCAAGACCGTCTGGGCTTTTAGTGCAAATTTCTCATGTTAGTGTTGTTACTGGAAAATATCTTCAAGGCGCCGGGTAGTTCTGATGCTAGGCCCTTTGAGATCCAGGGTTACGTATCTTTAGTTAATTTTTTTCGCTTATTTGTGGGTGGTCCCCCTCTTTGAGATTTTTCTCGCTCGTTCGACAGAAATGAATATAAATCTCAGTAGATTTAGGACCTATCAAAGTAAATAAACCAAAATGAGTTTTGGAGGAAAGCGCTGTTACAAGTGAGGTTTACTAGCAACCGAAATGACTTTAGTAAGCGGAAATGA